GCCTGGGTGTCCCCCCGGCCCCGCATCACCGCCACCCGCAGCACGGGGCGGGCGACCGTGCTGCCCGGGGGCACCCTGGAGATCCGCTTCGCCCAGGTACAGGACAGCGGCACCTACATCTGCATCGCCAGCAACGCGGGGGGCAACGACACCTACTTCGCCACCCTGACGGTCAAGGGGCGCCCGGCCGATGGCTCCCACTACACGAACCGGACTTTGTACCTCAGCGAGTTCAACGACACCTCCCACAACGACACGCAAGTCTTCTTGAAGTTTACATTGGACCTCAAGACCATCCTGGTCTCCACGGCCATGGGCTGCATCACCTTCCTAGGTGTGGTGCTCTTCTGCTTCCTCCTCCTCTTCGTCTGGAGCCGGGGCCGAGGGCAGCACAAGAACAACTTCTCAGTGGAATACTCATTCCGCAAGGTGGATGGTCCCACCACCACCACCGGCCAAGGAGGAGCCAGGAAGTTCAACATGAAGATGATCTGAGCCTCTCCCAGAGAAGAACCGTTGTCTGCTGCCCAGTCCCGGGCATGGCGGGACGGGGCCAGGGGCGGGGTGTGGGAGCACTGGTGACATCCCGAGGCTGGTGGTGGGACCTCGCTGTGCTGGGACGCAGCCAGAGGTGTGCCGGAGGCCAGCAGTGTCAGCACCACATGGACCTCAGGGCTGGGAAGCAATGACCCAGCCCCATGGCGAGCCCTCGGGGCACAACGGCTCAGGAGCCATCCCAGCTCCAGGGGCTCCCAATGTAGCCGAGATATTTGCTACCAACTATGCATTTCTCTAGCCAAGAGATCAGCAGCGTTTGGGCCTGGGGAAAAAAACTGCTTCCTTTTTCTCCCCCCCCTTTCCCTTTTGTTTTTTTAAGAGACTCTCTGGAAAACTTTCCTGGTGGTAGTTCATGGTTCTCCTCTTTTCTTCTTGTTGGGTTTGGGTTTTGTTTTTTTTGTCCAACAATTTTTTTTTTTTTAATGAATTTCCAAGAGAAAAGTCTTCCGGGGTGATGCAGGACTGGGGCACCGGGGAGGCTGTGCCGAGCTGGGGGTCTCCCCTAGCCCCTTGGCAAAGCCAGACCCCCCCCAGGGCATGGCCATGCCTTGAGAGCTTCCCATCGGCGCACTTCAGAGGCGGCATCTGCAAACGTGGGTGCCTGGGGACACTCCTGCACAAGCAATAATAACCCACCTGAGGCCAGGAGGAAAAGAAGGGGGGGAAAAAAGGCAAAATGGGGCCAAGGTCGTTCAAATCAAGAGGAGCAGCCCTGGGACAGTGCAAGGTCCCAGCTTTGCATCCGCCCAAGCCACCGCAGGAGCGGCGGGGATGAAGGGGTGGGGAATCAGGATTCGTACGGGTGAAAAAAAGCGCTTTTGGGTCTGTTTCTTTTGGCTTGCGAAGTCGAAGTCTGTGGGAGAGCAGGAGCTGGCTCGTCCTGCGCGGGGAGGCCGTACAGCCCGGGAAAGCAGAGGAGAGAAAGGCTTGGGACAAGCAGCTCAGGACCAGACGCTGGGAGAAGGTCCTGGCCGGCACCTCCATCGTGTCCGCCTGGATCCTGCACCCTACAGCGCTGGGGACCGCGAGTCGGCGTCCCTGGGGCTGCGCTGGAGGCAGGAGGTCCCGAGGCGTCGGGGCTATGGCCCCCCCATGAGCTTCACTGCGTGGGGCACAAGTGAGAGCGGCTCCCCGGGTCGTCCCCTGTCCCCCGTCCCGCTCTCGCGCCTATAGGTGCCCGCTGGCCCCCGGCTGAGCCTTCATGGGGAGATGGGCAAAGGAGCCGGAGGGCTCAGCACCCAGCCCTTCTCCCCAAGGTGCTCCCCAGGCTGCAACCAGTCACTGCCAGGGTCCCCCAGCATGGGGGGTGCTGCCCATCTCTCCCTGTCGTACCGGGGGTCCCACCGGCCTCGCCCGCGCACCCTTGTTCGGTGTCTGGGGGTTTTTTACGTGGGGGTTGGGGAGGGGGCTGGGCACGGACCCTTACAGCCGAGAGCGAAGGCGGGTTTGGGCAGCGCAGACCTGGCACAGTTTTACATGTAATGAGCATGAGAAATATATTTGCGGGGAAAAAGAAAAGAAAAAAAAAAAAGGGACTTTTGTGGCTCATTGGGTTTTCCCCCTCCCTTATCTTCTCCATGTGCCTCTAATAAGGAAAGCCAAGATCAGTGGAGAAAGCCTGAGCGGGGCTGAGCGCAAGCGTGGAGCTGAGCAGGACCCAGAAAGGGCGGTCAGAGCCGCTCGCACCATGTGCAGGATTTGTGCCTTGGTGTTCTCCAGGCCTGCTCCAGCCCAGTGCAAGCCCAAGGGTGTCCCGGGCTCCAGGCAGACGTTAACCTCCCCCTCCCTGAGTTCTGCTGGGCTTTGCAGCCCGTCAGCTGGTCATCACCACCGTCAGCCCCGCAAAACCCTTCATAAACAGTGCTAAAACAACTGTCAGAGGGTACCAAAGTCCATATTAATAATTAATAAATGATTAATGCGCATGTGTTAACAAACTACGGCTGCTATTAATCTATTATTAATTATTAATAGAGTGTTTATGAGGATGCCCTTAAGCTGAAGGGTGCAAAGCCAGCCCCTGGCCGCCTGCATGCCCGGAAATGGAGGGGGGGGGGGGCGTTAAAAGGGTTCACACACACATGAGTTACACACAGGCGTGCGTGCACACGTACACATGCAGAGCCAAACCCCTCCAATGAGACTGGAAATCCGGGCACTGGGGGTCTGCACTGCAGCTCTCTGGCTGGGGAAACTGAGGCACAGAAGGGCACTGCAGTAGGGCCAAGGGGCAGGAGTCAGCAGAGCTGGGGGGGCTCTCTCTTCTCAGGAAGACTGAAGTGACCCTCTCGGTCCCCTTTCCCATCCCTCCAGCCTCAAGGGACACCCTGGTGCCATGTGAGGCCGTCACTGCCCTTGGTGAAGCTGGCATCACCAACCCCACAAGGCGCTCGGCCACCCCGGTGTCCCCTTGCCCATCTGGCTGGGGACCATCTGGCCTCCCATCCCCAGCAAAGGGGCTGCAACACCCACCCTGAACCCTCCCCCCATTTCCCTCCTTCCAGGCTCACAGAATCGTAGGGGTTGGCAGGGACCGCTGTGGGTCATCTACTC